GGTCAGGCCACTGCGCGTGGCGCAATCTTTTCAGCGTGCCTTGCCGCGCTCCGCAGCTACCCCTCGTTCGTGTTTCGGTCTGAGGGTTCGTCGTAGAAAAAAAAACCGGCGGCGGCGATTGATCGGAACCCGGCTGAAAGGAAAGCTGTTGTGCAGCAGATGTTTCAAACCGGTCTCTCAGTTCAGCCGTCTGTTGTTGTGGCGCACCTGGTAGGGATGCTAGGTCGCCCGTGATGCGGCGGCCCCTATTGGAGGGGCTGCGGCTGCGAGCGTCCAGGGCGGCCATGTTGTAGCGATCGGCCTGCCGAAATCCATGGTGATTGATCGCGGCGCTGGCGGCACGGAGTCGAACACAGAAGTCGCCCGAATGCGGCCGGGACTACTCTCGGGCACCGCAAGCGTTGAGCGGTGGGGTCAAAGGCTCCGGGTGTTGGGTGGCCCGCGGAGGCTCCCCCCCCCCACAAGCGGTGATCATCCTTGGAGTGTCTCTGACCACCGGGGCTGCCGCCTGCAGGGGCTTCTACCCGCAACCGCTGAGCGCAGGGGTCGAGACCCCCCATGATTTTGGTCCCTATGTCCGAGGTGGCGCGCAAGGTCGGATCGCCGGGCGCGTGAGGTCGGATCGCCGGGGGCATCGCGAATGGGTGCCTAATCGTTCGCGCCCACACACATGTCAGATGTGCTTGGACAAGTGGGCACCGTGGCAGCATCAGTCCTGTCAAAATAAATGACCTCCTCGAGGCAGCGCGCTAAAGTTGGGTCGGGCATGCCCCCAATACAAGGGGACTCCTTCGACGAGGAAGAAACCTATCTCTATATATATATATATATAGATTCAAAAAGTGATCCGAACAGAAACAAGCATGGTCAAACAATCTTCCCCAGACTATGTTATGACTGCTTTTGAATACTCCTCCTGTAGAGGGACAAGCGCGACTTGACGCCAAAGCCCGCGAGGCAGGGGCGTCACAAGCGCCCGCCGCACCAAGGCGGCACACAGGCGCACGCCGCGGGGCGGTCGCCCTCGGGGCCCCGCGGGAGCCCCGTCGCGCGAGGGGTGCCGCACACGAGGGGGGAAAAGGGCTGACCTGCGCAGAGGTCGGGCTGGGCGAGAGGGGGGGATAGCAAAGGGGGGGGCTGAGAATCAGCTCACGTAGCTGATTTTCCCGGCGCCTCTCGGCGCCAGAGGCGGCCATGTATCGAGGAAAGGGACCCTCGGTGGGGCTGCAACCAGCTGCATGCAGCAGATTTCGTACGCCCCCCCTTTCCCTATCCCCCCCTTTCGTTCGGCCCGACCTGCGCAGAGGGCAGAAAATCTACCCCGATCATAACCTCCCCGGCACGCGAAGCCGTCTATCGGGGGTTGCTAGGGGTGCCCCTGGCCCAGGGTGCCCCCCGCTGTTCGCTCCACTTTGGAGCCCCTGGGGCCCTCTGGGCCTCGTGAGGTGTGCTCTGGAGGCCGTGGGGGCCTCCTGGGAAATCCTGGGGGCACCTTGGGCCAGGGGCACTTCTAGCAACACCCTCCCTCCCTCCCTCCCTCCCTCCCTCCCTCCCTCCGAGTTTGATAGACGCACCCAAGGAAGGAATCAAGCAGGGCAGGGCTGTTCAGTGAGCGCCCAAGGCCGCTCAGTAAAAAAACGCCAACTGCCTGGTCCAGGCGCTTTTCCCTCCCTTGACTGTGTCACGGAAGGATTGACCGATGGGCCGATCCCCACCCGAGCATCCATCGGCGTGGGCGCCAAAGATATAGGAAGGGCGATGCTGAAGACTGTGCCCTTCTCACCAGGTCCCTCAGTCGGAGCGCGGTCGAACCTGCGGCAGAATGGCATCCCTGCTGAAGAACACGAGACCCTCCGTTGGCCAAAACAAGCATCACGCCCAAGCGTACCCTCCCCAGGATGCACAAGAAATTCAACAAACAAGAAGAACACTAGGGCACCCTCGTCGCACCGACCTCGATCTTATACCTCCGTCCGGCTGTACGCCAACCTGTGCCTGCGAGCTGACAGGGGCAGCGACACAGAAAAGGGTATGGAAAGTATGGGGTTCCACTCAAGCCCGCACGAAAACAAACCAACCAAACCGATCAAGTGCAGCCATGCACGCAATCTCAAAGGGGACCGGCGACAAAGGGCGAAAGGCTTCAGATCCGGCTATCCCCGCCAGCGGATGGGGCCGTGCGAGACCACCCTGTCGAAGTGCCTGGCAAGATGCGCCAGGGCCTGGCAAAAACCTCCCTGGAGTCCCGCCAAAGGGCCGCTAATATGTCGGCGGTTCCTCGCAGACCGCCAATTTCCAGGTTCAAAAGGCCCCAGAGCACCCCAGGACGGTCTAAGAAAGCCCCGAGACGGCTTCGGATAGCCCTACGAGGCGCCCTAAACGGTCGAAGTGAGCCTCAAGATTGTTCCAGATCGCTCTCAGAAGACGGCCTGAAGGCCATCGGGACGTCCAAATAGGGCCCCAAGTTGACCCGCAAGAGGGTCCCGAGAGACGAAAAACATTGATTTCCCATGATTTGAACAAAAATCGCCTTCTCGCCCTTTTGGGATTCCGACGCTCCAAGACTGCCCGACACCTCCAAGATGGCCCCGACATAACCCAAGAGACCTGAAAACTCCCAGACAGCACAAGAGGGGCCCAAGACAGCCCAAGAGGGCTCAAGAGGACCCCAAGAGGAACCCACGAAGGGGAACTCGAAGTGACATTTCGTGCTCTCATCTCCGCGGTGACACCCGAGACCGCCATCAGGCCACCAAGGGGCCCCCCAGAAACCCCTGGAGGACCCACGGAGGTCCAAATGAGGCCCAAGGAGGCCCCCAAGAAACCCCGAGAGGCCCCAAGACATGTCCAAGACCGCCTCCAGGAGGCTTGCGACAAGCCTTCCAATACCTTACAGACATCCAAGAGGCCTCTACCTTACACACTAGACATGGTGGCCAGATGGGCCGAAGACCACTCGCGATACGTCAGAGAAGCCTTCTGGCAACCCCCGGCAAGGACAGCTGGCATGCGCGCTGCGTCGCGACTCTCGATGCTGCGCGCCATTCCGCCAAACTCCCAGGAAGCGGCCGGTGGTGCGCCGCTGGCGTCCACGACAAGCACATTCTGAAAGAAGAAATGCCTTTGTCGTAGTTTCAGCTTTCTGCCCCGCTGAGCCCTTCCTGGGCCGATGGGACTGCCGAAAAACATCACGTTCTGAAAAGCCGATCGCGGGGGCCCCTCATGCCACACTTTCGGCTGCATGCAGGAGTGACCCTGGGCAAGAGTGGCCTTTGATGCGCGGCTTTTTTGGAGGGGCCGCGGGGGGGGGGGCCAAACCCCACCGCGCAAGACGCCACTGCCGCCTCGCGTTCGGCGGTCGGGGGACCCCAATGAGCCCGCACCAAAGGTCACTCCGGCGAAGGGTCACTCAACTCTTCTGTGTCGTCGACACATCTCGCCCCCCGCCTTACCCGCACCGGTCAATCACTCCCCCCCTCCCTCGGTGGAGCTCTCGTTGCGTGCTGCAGCGCCTCTCCCAAAAGTTTTGCGCTTAGCGGGAAGGGAGTGATGGGCCTGTTTTCCACCACCACCACCATAAGTTGGAGGGGGGAAGGAGGTGGAGGACGAGGAAAATGAGGAGGAGGAGCAGGAGGAGGAGGAACTGAAGACCCCCTCCCTCTCCAACTTATGATGGTGGTGGTGGTGGTGGAAAACAGGCTCATCAGGGAGAGCTTGTTGGGCAGGGGGGGGGCAGGGGGGGGGCAGAGCTGGGAGGAATGGCGACGCTGTGCGTATACAGCCCCAGTTCGAGGGCCCTCTGCGCAGCATCAGCAGTGGTGAGGGGGGGGGCGGTGCGTCCAGCCTCAGGTTCCGAGCGAGCCATCAGTTATAGGGTTAGGTCGGGCCTGTCCCCCTACAGGGGGATTTTGGGCGAAATAAAACAATAATCGAAAAATACACCAAAATGGCCAACGAAATGCTCAAAAAATCGTCCCCTGACTATTTTCTGACTATGTTTGAACATCCTCCTGTAGAGGGACAGGCCCGACTTAATTATAGGAGCATCCTACCTGATGGGAGCGCGTCTTCCACGAGGTCGCCATAGGAACCAATACATCCCGTTGCGGATACCACAAGCACAGCGGAGCAGGGTGAGTGGGCCCGTCGCCCAAGAGAGGGCAGGCGGCCTCTGAGACGGCACTCGCTCGGGGCCCTCTGCAAACCAGACGTAGGCCCATACCTTCAGGTCGGGCATGTCCCCTACAGGCGGATTTTGCACGAAAGATAAAAAATAACCAAAACTGGTCCAACAATACCACAATAATCATCCCTATACGATTTTTCGTCTGTTATTGAATGTTCCTCCTGTACATAGAGGCACCTGCCCGCCTTCACCATACCTCCTGAGAGATGGTCGGCTGTATTCGAACATCTCCCCCAGAACGAAACACCTTTCCCCAGACCTCCAATGCCGGTATTTGCACACGATGCGGCCCCTTGAGACTCTCGACCCAACTCCCGGGGAGAATTCTGTTGCCACGGGTCCTCGCTTCTCGGCCCTGGGGCCCGAAACGGGCACGGGACAAACAAAACTGCTGGGACAACACTGCTCACCCTCGTCGTTGTCCCACTGACAGTCACCCAAACGGGGTCCGGAGACGGGGTCTCCGGACCGCGGCATCGGCGATGTCTCGGCCACGTCGGGATGGGCAAAATCAGGCTCTGGATCAGCCCGCATCGCTGGTGCATCGGCGATGCGGCGCGAGCCTCCGACACCACGTGCGCGGCCAAGAGTACTCCCCCCTGCTCCTCCTCAGCTGGGGGTACCAAGCGGTACCGATACTGCTACTCCCCGCGCCTCTCCCGGGGTGCGTTCCGACCAAGACTTCGAGGCGAATCCAACGGTGGCGACGAAGGCATCTCAGGAGGCCCAAACATGAGCAAACGGGCGAAGGGTAGCGGTATGGATGCCGCTTCCTCCTTTGGGGGGCACTCCTCAGCGAGCCACCCAGAGCGACCTCATCACCACCAAGCCGAAGTTGCCTGGTCGTGTGCGGGGCATGGTGCCGGAGCTGGGATCGGGCTTCACCTGGCGGGTTGGGCGCGGCCAGACGCCCTCGCCATCTCCCATCATGTCTGCTCGTTGCCGTCCGAAGCGCGCCACGTGGCAGGGAAGGGTCAGGTCGGTCCAATGGGTGGGTAGCAGAGGGGGGCTGCGGGAGAGTCACTTGGGCCCATATCCACTGCAGCTTTGAGTTTCGGGCTCCCTTCCTCAAAAGCCCGAGACGCACTCCACATCCAATTCGCTTCGGCCTTTTGGCGCCCCTTCCCAGAAAATCCCCAATGCAATGACATATACATGAATATTGCCCGCATGGGGGCTGAACGGCAAAACGTCAGCTGCGGGCAGCCGGTTTCCACGGCGCCTCCCGAGCGACCCCTTCTCCAGGAACGCGCTAGGCGGCGGGCCGAAAACAAAAGGTGCTCTCTTTCGCCGAAACAAAATGTGCTCTCTTTCGCCGTCGTCGTGCAGATTTCGTACGTCGTTGCCCTCTTTCGCCCCCCTCCCGAGATCCCCTCCCCCCTCGTCGCCCGCCCGCAAGGAGGCGGGGGAGGCGGGGAGGGGGCACGAGAGGAGGAGGAGGAGGAGGAGGAGGAGGAGGAGGAGGAGGAGGAGGAGGAGGAGGGAGGAGGAGGGGAGGAGTAGGAGGAGGAGAAGGAGGAGGAGGAGGAGGCGGAGGAGGAGGAGAAGGAGGGGGAGGAGTAGGAGGAGGAGGAGGGAGGAGGAGGAGGAGGAGGAGGAGGAGGAGGAGGAGGAGAGGAGGAGGAGGAGGAGGCGGAGGAGGAGGAGGAGGAGGAGGAGGTGGGGGGGGGGGGGGAGTAGGAGGAGGAGGGGGAGGGGGAGGGCCGGCGGCACGCAAGAGCGACCCCAGGCAGGCCTCTGGTGCATGCGCGGCCCGCCGATCTCGCCCAAATGCGCTGTGCCCCGCCCACCCCCCTGCATGCCCCGGGTCGTCCGTTCATGGGGGGTGGCAGCATCAACGGGTCCTCCTCCTGCTCCTCCTCCTCCTGGGGGGGTTGACGGAAGGTGTCCTTCGTGCACCCTGGAGCCCCCTCCAGGGCACCCGCTCCTGCTGCCCACGATGCGCCCCCCCATTCGAACAGGGTGTCGACTACAACATTAAACTGCTCCACGAAGATTTTTCTCGCCGCAACCATGACACAAAAGCGTTCGTACAATTGTCGTCAAATGAGAATTCGATGCTTCATCCAAAGATTCGACGACACAATGAATTTTGGGGTAAATCAATTTGGTAGTCGATTCCCTACTCGACCCATGTCGGAACGACCAAGCTCACCGAAGCAACTCCGGCGAAAGGTCATTCATTCTCTTACGGCGTAGCCCAGGAGGGGGGGGGGGCGGGCAACCGCACGCCGATTGAAGTATTCGCAAACACGCCGAAGCGCGCAGCGGAACGCGGGCGCCGCGACTCGCGCTGCCTCGGTCTCCTCGCCAAATTCCTCTCAGCTTGGCGCCGTTGAGAACGCCATGGTGGGCGCTGGGCGGCAAGGGGGGCCGCCTTCTGAGAAGCAGCGGGATTTCTACGAAGGCGTGTTGCTTCCTCGAAGCCCCCTGGCCTTTCGAGAGGCCCCTTGGGAAAACACCCCCAGGAACTCTTCCAACAAGGCCCCCGCCTCCCGAGGGCCCCCCCGTGCCTGCTTGCACGGCCGACCCCGTCGCGCCCCCCCCCCCCCCTCTCGCCCGCGCCGTCACAGTCTGCGGCGACGGCCCCAGGTTTCCTCGCGGACCGACGGGGATCAGCGCTGCCAAGAAGCGGGGTGGAGATTTCTGGCCGGGTGCTGTTTTTCACGCTCCCCCCACCTCCTCTCCCTCCTCCTCCCCCTCCTCCACCTCCTCCTCCTCCCCCTCCTCCCCCTCCTCCTCCTCCTCCTCCTCCTCCGCCTCCGCCTCCTCCTCCTCCGCCTCCTCCTCCTCATCCTCCTCCTCCTCCTCCGCCTCCGCCTCCGCCTCCGCCTCCCCCCGCCACGAGGTCGGATGCGGGGCCCCGCCCCGTCGTGGACACATCGTTTGCGCCTTCTGGCGCGGTAGCGGCGCCCGCAGCGGACCGAGGAGACGAGGCGCCTGGAGCGCGAGGAGGAGGCGCGCAGGAGAGAGCCTTTCAGAGGGGGGGGGATCGACGAGGGGGGGGGGGTAAAGAGGGGGCGCGGGGAAGGACGAGGAGGAAGAGGGAGAGGGAGGGAGAACGAAGACGCGGAGGCAGGAGGAAATGGGACGCAGTCGGAGCGAGGCACTCGCAGTCAGAGTGAACTGCTGCCGCTGCCCATCCCAAACGAAAACGCGTCGCTTGCGGCCCTGCCTGGGCTCGAACCGGCCGGCTCAATCGCGCCTCCCAGATGCCGCCCCGACGGGGGAAGGGGCGGGGAGGAGAAAGAGAACGAGAGAGGGAGACAGAAAACAAATCACAGAGAGAAAGAGAGAGAGAGAGAGAGAGAGAGAAAAAAAAAAGAAGAGCGCATGAGAGAAAGAGAAGGAACAACTATAGAGAGAAAGAAAGAGAGAGCGAGAGAGAGGAACAACAACACAAACATGCAGAACAACTAACAAGAGGGGTGGAGAGAGAGAGAGAGAGAGAGAGAGACAAACACAAAAAATAGAATTAAAGATATACATTTCAAACGAGGAACTGCGAGACAAAGAGAGAGAGAGAGAGAGAGAGAGAGAGAGAGAGAGAGAGATACATAGCGACAGGGATACATATATATATATATATACATATATATACATTCCTCTTCCTATATTTTTACAAGCCCGGGCGGGGGGAAAACCCGTCACCCCCCCCCAAAAAAAAAACGGACTCCCGGGATCTGGGGCTTTTGGACCCTCCGGACGGGCCTCGAAGCGGCCCCCCGGGCCTAGCAGGGCGTTTTGCCAAGCCTTCCCCGCACACCTAGGGCGATCAGGGGGGTCATCGGAGACGTCCCAGAGACCCCCAAGACAGCACAAGAGCGCTCCAAGAGTGACCGACGTGACCTCAAGATGGCCCAAAAAGGCCTCCAAGACGGCCCCAAAGAGGCCTCCAAGAGCACTCCCAAATAAGGCCCCAAGAGGCACAAATCTTTGATTTTCTATTGGTTTTTGCTGAATTTTGGGGTTCTCCTCGTTTCGGCTTCCCGACGCTCCAAGACGGCGGTCTTCTGGGCGTCCGAAGCCGCCTGGGAGGCTCCAACATCGCACCACAACCATCCGAAAGGGCTTCCAAGCAGTCCAAGAGAGCCCCAAAACGGCACAACACGGGTCCAAGATGGCCCTCAGAGAGCCCCATGGCGGCCCAAGATGGCCCCAAGACACCCTCCGAAGCATTCCAAATCGTGACCCGGTCGTTCAGGGAGACCGTTGTTGGAGGCAGGGTGGCCCGAGGAAGTGCCCAGAGGCCCCCAGAATACGCCCAGGAGGCCTCCAGAAAGCCTTAAGAAAGCCTGAAACAACTTTTGTGAGGCCCCCAGAGGCTCTCCAAGGAGGAGCCTCCGCAAAAAAGAGCTGAGGAGGGATGGGGAGAATGCGCAGGATACGGCGAAAATAAAGAGAAAACAAACATGGAGGACAGATAACAAATAACATGATTATAGCGGCGATGCCGGAAACGGCAACAAGGAGTTATATCTAAATCTCTCTATAAATATTTATATATATATATATATATATATACAAGACTGCAGTGGCGCTTCGCGCCATGCACTTTGGTCCTTGAAGTTTGGTATGCAGGCGGAATAGCAGGAAGGTCAAGCCGACAATTTAGAGATAATTCCTTGTTGCCGTTTCCGGCATCGCCGCTATAATAAGGTTATTCGTTATCCTTCCCCCATGCTTCTTTATCCTTGTTGTCGCCGTACCCTGCGCATTCTCCCCATCCCTCCTCAGCTCTCTTTTGCGGAGGCTCCTCCTTGGAGAGCCTCTGGGGGCCTCGCAAAAGTTGTTCCAGGCTTTCTTAAGGCCTTCTGGAGGCCTCCTGGGCGTATTCTGGGGTCCCTGAACGACCGGGTCACGATTTGGAATGCTTCGGAGGGTGTCTTGGGGCCATCTTGGGCCGCCATGGGGCTCTCTGAGGGCCATCTTGGACCCGTGTTGTGCCGTTTTGGGGCTCTCGTGGACTGCCTGGAAGCCCTTTCGGATGGTTGTGGGGCGATGTTGGAGCCTCCCAGGCGGCTTCGGACGCTCAGAAGACCGCCGTCTTGGAGCGTCGGGAAGCCGAAAAGAGGAGAACCCCAAAATTCAGCAAAAACCAATAGAAAATCAAAGATTTGTGCCTCTTGGGGCCTTCTTGGGAGTGCTCTTGGAGGCCTCTTTGGGGCCGTCCTGGAGGCCTTTTTGGGCCATCTCGAGGTCACGTCGGTCACTCTTGGAGCGCTCTTGTGCTGTCTTCGGGGTCTCTGGGACGTCTCCGATGACCCCCCGGATCGCCCTTGGTGTGCTGGGAAGGCTTGGCAAAACGCCCTGCGAGGCCCGGGGGGCCGCTTCGAGGCCCGTCCGGAGGGTCCCAAAGCCCCAGATCCCGGGAGTCCGGTTTTTTTTGGGGGGGACGGGTTTCCCCCCGCCCAGGCTTGCAAAAAATTGGAAGAGAATACATATATATATATATATATATATATATATATATATATATATATATATATATACAAGACTGCATTGGCGCTTCGCGCCATGCACCTTGGTCCTTCAACCCTTGCGCGCGTTGGCGTCTAGCGCGGCCCTCCACGGTCTTTGAACCGCGGTTGGTTCGCGCCCAGTTCCCGGACCTGCACCTTACTTGCTCGCGCCCTCGCTCTGCTGGTCCGCGCGCCACTGGGACTCCATGAGAATGTCCCAGCGGACCGATCAGCGGCGATGAGAGCGGCCGTGGAGGCTCCGGAAATACAAAACGTCGGACAGAAGGGGCGGGAAAGAAGTGGAGGACGATTTGGGGAGGCGCGGCGAAGGCAGGAATATCATGAGGTAAGGTAAGGTAAGGCACGCATTGGGGCGGCGTGCTGTCTCGACTTGCGCATGGGGGTGAGACAAACGGAGATGCC